ATTATTTAGTTTATTCTTATATCTTAATCATATTTATATTGAAATTTGTCTTGATATTCAATCTTGATTATTATATATTAAGCAAGTTTTGTAGAATTTTATTTTATTCGTCAAACAGAAATGAAAAAAAAGAAAACAGTTGTAGTTCAGTTGATTTACAATTAATTTTCTATTTAAACATTTTAAGATCTTCTTATTGTTCCATCAATACTTTATCTTCTTCGATTTAATCGTCGATTTACATTATTTTGGCTGATATTACAAAAAGAAAAACAAAAGTTTCATTAATTGATTTAACTCTTCTATTTTATTTTATATTTATGACATTCACTAGTTTATTTTATTTATTATTTGAGCACCAAACTTATGTTGAAATAATTGCATGCAAATTTAAGAAAGTTAAAAATTTGGAAAATGTTAATTGCTTTTTGTTCTATTCGTCGAATTTTTTCTTATCAATATGTTTATCTCAATCATTATTAATAGTTTTAATTACATTCTACATCATGTTTTAAACAGGGAAAAATCAATCTGAAATGATTAAAGTTTTTTTAAAAGTCAAAAGGAAAAAGTTCGAATCAATATAAAAAAACAGGAGATTACGTACCTGAATTTTCAGACAAGATTGATCAACTTTTTGTAGTATTAAATTAAGTAAAAAACTTGTTATCATCAATTTTGATAGAATTATCTATTTTTATTTTGGAAGTAGAGGATCATAAAATGTTGTATAATTTAATGAATTTTGCTTCTAAGAATGTTTGACTATAAAAAGAATCTTGATTCGCTCATCTGCTACTTTAACTTTTTACTAAATATCAATTCAAATTGGTTTCAAATATAATATAAGAGGAAACAAAGTGACTTGTAAAAATTTTTCTACGGTTATTTTTTTTTCTTTTTTTTTGTTTTAATTGATCGTTCGAAGTGTTTATATTTGATGGTTATCTATAAGTACAATTTATGAGTTGCTTGAATAAATGTGTTTGCCTCTGAACATGTTTTAAGGTGTTTACATGAGTAAAACAAGTTCGACTACGGTTAATCATTCGATAATATCTTCACGTTCGAATATATTAGTTTGACACAAAAGTACAAAGATTTTCATTTTAAAAAAATATTCGATTATACAAGAGGAGATGTTTTTATAGTAAAACAATTTAATTCAGTGTGCTGTGCATCGAACATAATCCGAAATGAAATAAGTACATGGTGTCAAACATGTAAAAAATGTTTTATTAGATATTCATCCGTAATGTTGATCGAAAACTTGATTATCATTCAAATGAAAATAGCAAAAATAAAAATATACTACAATTCAGCTCGAACGAAGGATCCTACAGTCGATTCTGATAGAAAGTTATCAAATGTTGGATTCGACGCTTTTCGACAGTAAGGTGCGACAGTTCCAAAACGTTGGATATACCTCAAATCTGATAGGATTATATAGGAAGATGTTCAATTTGTGCGTGGATGTGGGTGGGGCACTACTAGTACCCACATCCACACTCACACTTTCTCCCAAATGAGTATATATTCTTAAACTTTCAACTTGTTGTTAGCGGAACTGAAGACAATACTTTTTCTGTCGACAACTGTGTTTACTGGGCGCGTTGTTCTTCTTTCCATTTTCTAATTTCTGTTATTTTTCGAACACAATCTGTTCTTGCATCGGCTGCTGGAAACTGTAACTTGGCTAATTTTTGTAGTCTCTTATTTTGTAGAGCGTGATAACGTTCTTTGTTTTTTGGTACCTTGTTAGCTGTTAATGATATTAAATCACTTAAAATCTCTTGTAATTTATTTCGTTGCTTTGCTTTATTGGTACAACCGTACCAAGGAAAAGAGATACCAAATTTGCTGTCAATGTATTCGTGTAATGATTGAATTAGTAAATATAACCAATTATGTTGATCCTCTCTATTATTTTTTATGCTACTAATGTGATCTACTTTGCCAATCACATTGGCTACTTGATTTACTATTAGTCTTGATGAACGAAATTCCAGAGATCCTCGGTCATATTCACGCTCAATAATTGACATGGCCAAACTAACTAAAATCTCTTCGAAACTGATTTCATATGAATCTAATGCAAATATGCATTTCGATAATTTGGATTTTTCACCGATCATCATAAGAGATTTTTTAAATCCTTGATAAAATAATATCGCACATAATAATCTACCAAACTGTGAATTAAGATGAATTTTATCTTGAATGATACTTTCTTTGATCTGTGCTGTATCATCTATTTCATTAATACCAATATCATATTCATGAGAAGAAATAGGTTCACTCAGTTGCTTTGTGTTCAATCGAGTTTGCACTTTGAATAGTAAATGAGTAGTGGCCAACAAAGGAGACTCACTATTGATCAAAATTAATCGATTACCGACTTGAAAGTCCAATGTGGATTTATAAACATACTTTTTACCGTAAACAACGGTCATACAATGTTGAGAACATAAATCTGTTGTATCATCATAAACTATTTGATACAAAAACTTATGATCTTCTCGTTTCTCATAATCTGTTCTAAGTTCGTTGGCCATCGCATTCAATATTTCACCATTAGGCTGCTTGCATCCAAAGCCGGACCAAAGATGACTTGAAAATTCGGATTTAGTTTTCTGTTTGTTGTCAAGAAATTGTAAATTGTTGTAATCGAATAGAGCAAAATCAAAATCATTCGGTAGACAATTACCAATACAAATAAAACCAGCATTCTCACTAGAATTCATATGCTGTAAAAATAATTGAGATTTGATTACATTGAATGTTGATTTTGGGTTAAGATAAATAAAAATAATCAAATTTGCTGTTGTCAACCATTGTATCCTTGGATGATGAAATGTTTGATATCTTTCAATATCCCACATTTGACTTGAATATTTGAATAACTGAAATAATTTCTGGTATGCAAGATATTCAACTCGATTAGTTTGAGAATTCGTAACTAGAAGAACATCAGTTTTAATATTTGGATTAAATTCCGGTACAATTCGAATGTAATCTGTGTAGTTTTCAATCAGTCTATCACGTAATAGTAGATCGACATTCCAAAATAAACTTTCATAAAGTTGATGAGAAGCATTTGCACTTAAACAAAACTCAAAACAAATTTTCTTTGTAGATTTAGTTGATAGTTCTTCATTGATTTTGTAGCGACCATGCCCATTAGGCGTTATGCAGTACGAATGTTCTGTAGTTGCAGGTAAAATTTTTATTAAAGAATGAGCATAAAATATAAATTCAATGGAACCAGCTGAATCCTGGCATGTACCGTATGATCGTGTGGAGATGTTAGTGAAGTCTAATGCTATGATGGCTCGTTCATTAGGACCCAGAAAAGTAGGAATCTGAATATTTCTAATTTGAATCGGATATTGACAAGTTAAAGTAGTTGGAACTTGACTATGTTCAAATAAACGACCCAACAGATTAATTTCAGATACTATTTTTACGGGTTGAATATACGGTTGGTTGATTGAAACTGTTGGTACATCATTCAGATGGCATTTAAATCGATGAGAGTCAATCAAAATTTGGTTTATATTAGCATCCATCAATACACTAACGTCGGTGATATCACTAGAAATATATTTTGTAGATGGAAATGATAATATAGATCCGTTGGGCAAGGATATTGCACCATTGTTTGCCCATTTAACATTCGTAATAAAAAAATCTGAGTCTGGTTCGTAGATTTCATCATTGTTTTCATCAGTAATAGTGTAACCAAGAACGCTGGCATGGTATTTGTCAGGGCCTATTTCAATAATTTTATCATCTACATCTACTACAGCATATTCAATATAACCATCACTTGCAGCACAGCCATCATTACCAGTGGAACCATTTCTACCTGCACGACCATAACTGCCACGCTTACCAGCAGGACCGTCTCCACCATCTGCACCATCGGAGCCGCCTGGCCCACCTCTACCGCCACTACCACCATGACCGCCATTTCCACCTCGACCACCTACGCCATAAGAACCACCTTTTCCACCAAGACCACCTTTACCTTCGATTCCTGCCCGACAATCTAGTTCAATTAACATAAATAATCGAGGATCTGCACTTCGAACCTGAATACGGCCGCCGGCACCTGCATTTCCTCCATTTCTTCCTGTTCCACCATTCCCACCATTACCTCCACAACCGCCGTTCCCTCCTGCTCCACCAGCGCCTCCTCTTTTACCAGTAGCACCTTGGTTGTAAGATTTGGAGCCATCTTTTCCATCACAACCATCACCACCATTGCCTCCAGGGCCTCCATTACCTCCACAGCCTCCAACACCTCCATTACCCCCATGTCCTCCCACAGCCTGTACAAGAATGATTCTCGTCGAATTCGCTAATTGAAAATTATAGTTGGCATCATTAAGACGATGGGTGAGATTTGAATTAATATCAAAGACTTGTCTTGAGAAATCATGTACTTTGTCACACATTTTTAGTTGCATATTTAAATTTTCAACTGTTCCATTCAATTGGACAATTGCGTTCTTAGAATCTGTACCAGATTGACCTGGTTCACCGGCAGATCCATTCTCACCAGCATCACCTCTACCACCGTGTCGACCGTTTGACCGATCTTTCCCAGGAATTCCGGATGCACCATCACTACCAGAACTGCCGGATACACCATCACTACCAGGATTTCCATTTATACCTGATTGGCCACTAATAGAAATTTTCCGATGCGCAAGCTTCGTTAAAGCTCGCTGACTGACATGGTGAACATCGAAACAAAGATTCGGTATAGGAACTTCTGTCAATATACTCATTGGACCACGTTATCTGAAATAAATTAGACATTGTATGTTCCAGTTAGAACATGAATTATTAATTGTTTATATGTGTTAGGTAGAATTGAGTTTCAGGGAAAATTAAATCGTAGGTTTCTAAAAGAGATATTTTCTAGAATAATGTTTAGCTGTTTAAGAATTAAGTAACTTCTTGTTTTGTAACATGTTTTCTTTTTACACACTATTTCATGGAACTAGCTATTTGATATCTAGCGATATTTAAATATTACTATAACTATTCAAGCATGATCCGAATTATTGAGAAGGGTGGGATGTGGGTGTGGATAAGTGTAAATTAGTCTGGATAACTGTGACTATAAGCTTTCTTTATTCGTTAAGATTCATGCCCCACACCATCTCCAGTTGTATTTGAGCTGATTACCTTCGAAAACAACACCTCATTGGCGTGGATTCGTCATATATTTTTATGAAGATGGTGGTGGTACAATAAGTGGTTGTAATAGTATTTGATGATTATTATTGTTATAATTTTTTGACGACAGGAATAGTAGACCAGTTGATAGATATTATGAATCAAATAACAAGAATATATTCCAATTGATTCGATGTCTAGTATATTGCTCGTACTAAAATCAATCGAAAACAGGCCAACCTATATTTCTATTACGCAAATCAATCTAAAGCTCTTAACTTTTGCTTTGCAGCAATCAATCAAGTATAAAATAAAGAAAGGATAGAAAAATAATGGATAAATGTGCTTCAATTAAAACCATGTAAAAATATATGGAGTTAATATCACAGACACGTTTCGTACTTTCTCAAGATAGCACTTTTCAGCATTAAAAATGATACCTACCAAAGAAAAAAGAAAGATAATTATTATCACATAGGAAAATGAAAAGATAACATGAATAAAGAATAAAAAGCTAAAAACTATCTAGATTCATGTAAGATAAGAAGAAGCTCATTTAATTCATCATTTCATGCATTGGATCACCATGCATGACTTTGCATCCTAAAGTAGAAGATTATATTCCTTTCTACAAAGGTTAAAGATAGATTAATCTTTATTGTTTGTTGGACATGATGTTTCTTCCAATGGCAGATCCAAAATTTTCTGAAGGAGGCGGCGAATAATCGAAAACTGGAGTCGGATAAGCGAAGCGAGAGCAAATAAGCGAAAGGGGGAAGCAATCACATCTAAGAGTGTGGGCCTGGATGAATATAGATCTAGATGCAAGTTGAGATGAAAGTGTATCGTCACTAGCACCAACACCTACATTGCGCCCATTCCACCACAGCCACACCCATCTTCGTGTTTGTCAGTGTTGTGATGAATCTGAGCGGAAGAGGAATGCACTTCTGGTGCTGCTTTTGTCCGATTCCGACTATTCTCATTACATTCGCTCCACACCCTCACCCACATTCTCTTCCACATGCACTGATAGCTATAAACTCACATCATCAATTATGATAGGGGTGTGGGTGTGGGTGATGAAGCGATGACCCACGCCCACACCCACACCCATACCCTTACCCATACCCACACCCCCCACTCCCACACCCACACACCCACCCACACACCCACCCACGCACCCACACCCACACCCACCAGCCACACACACTCACACCCACACCCACACCCCACACCCACACACCCACACCCACACCCACCCACACCCACACCCTTATTTATTTATTTACTCTCTCCTTCTTTTCTTGATTGTTGTTGCTATTCTTTGTTTTTCTTCTTGTTCTTCAAATCTCCCTTTTCATTAAAAAAAATGCAAAACTAAATAAAAAAAATCAATAAAGAAAAAATAATTCTTTTTTTTGCAAAAAACACATGTCGGTTTGCGAAATTCAAAGAGTTGACATTTTGTTTGAAGAGCAATATGCAGTACATGTGGAGATTGAGAAATTAAATATATTTTCAACATCACCAATGTATATTTTTGTTTATTCTGGTCGCATAATTAAGAACATTGGATCAGTGTTATCGGTGGTCTAGATTATGTTGAAACTCATTAACCGACTGACAAATCTAATTACTCTTCGTTCATTTTAGCTCTATCAGAATAACATTTGATTAAGATTTTTTATTGATCCGTTTTTCAAATTAAAGGCATTTGCCTTAGAGCAAGTAATCATCTATTGCTACTGTACACGTCTTTTAGAATTTTTAATTTATTTTATATTATTTCGATTGGCTATATAAAAAAAAATTAATTCAGAGGGATGGAACGAGCAAAACGAAAGAAACTGTTGTGCGACAAACAGGACGAACAGAACGCGACGAAATGTGGTGCGACGAAGTGATCAGTCACCAAGAAATCAAGACAAAAACATCTCTCGCACCGATCGTATTCGACAACAGATGTATTGAAAAGCATTACTCGCAAGAACGATGTCGATTTTGAGCAAGAAAAAACAAAAACAATTAACCTGAAGTACACAAATCTATAATATTTATGTAATGCAAAAAGCAGTAGATAAGGAAATTTGAGACGTCGGAGTTTTTAAAGTTTACTTAAAGTCGGAAACGTATGTAATATTGAGACAATCACAAATATTTGATACTAAGTTTTCAAATCGAAGAGGTCTGCTGACGACTTGTAGTTTGTTAAATAATGAATGAGTTCTTTTTTTTTCTTTTGCTCCTTATATACACCTCAACTGGGTTTTTCCCCATTCAAACAAAATAACGAATATTAAATATCTTTTGCCCGCATGTGAATCATGTTTGAAGAAAAGCAAATCAGAATGATTTTTCATGACGAGTAACACTTATTTCTGTTATTTGAATTATAGAACAAGCAAAACTCTGTACTGGGTGCTTTTTGAGGTGGGTGTGGATGTGACGGTGTGGGTGTGGGTGTGGGTATGGATGTAGATGGGAAGAGAAGACTTCGACCCATACCCACACCCATCCACATCTACACCTACACCCATACTCACACCCACACCCCGCATTGAATTATACGGCGAATGAAACTGTTATATATATATGTATATGTATATCCATTATTTTAAACCTGATCGCTTAGGTCTGTAAAAGGGGGGGGGGGGGGGGGGGGGGGGGGGGGGCAGGAGCCGCGAAGCCTTGACCTTAAGCCCCCCCTCAGAAAAGTCAATTTCGGTCAAATTTATCGATTTTGTGATTTATAACTCGTTAGATAGAGCAAAGTGTCTACTCTCAAATGTACTATAGTTGATTGATTTTATGATGAGATTTAAGGATATTGCATCCGATTTTCTGGACCTTCATATTGAAACAATAAGGTTTTTAAAAACTTATTTTCCGTTTTTCTCAAAATCCATTTTTTCGAGTATACTGTTTACGCGGGCAAACCTTACTCAATAACGACTGAATATAAAAGTGGTAATGCTTTTTTGTTATAGAGCAGACACTTGGGGCTAGGTCGTAATAGAGCCCGATTTTTGAATTTCTCCTTTGTTTAAATAAAAAACTTAGATCTTTTATTTTAATTAGCGATCTTTTGTCCACGAATTTGAGAATTTTTCAAAAAGATTTTTTTAAAAACCAAACAAAGGGAAATTAAAAAATCGGGCTCTATTACGACCTAGCCCTATGGGTACTCTACAATTTAAAAACCACCCCGACATGCTAAGCTAGGTATCCTCATGTTGAAAATCTTGCCCGCGTAATGGATATTTTTGATCAATTAATTGACTATAACTCGTGAATGGCTCGCAGATTTCGGAAGATATTTTAGCCATAATCTATTCTAGCCAAGACTAACATTCTCTGAAATTTTGGTTGAAATCGGATGAAAAATAACAAAGTTGGTTTCTTACACTTACTATTTTCTTCGAAAATATACGTGAGTTTCACAAAATATTGTATTTGTAAATAATTATATTATGATCAAAATCTAAACCACAAGGGAAGTTCTCCAACTGATAAATCACTTTAGAGTCGAGACTAGGCGCATAATGTAAATTCAAATGAAGCTTGAATATACAGAAAAGAGTTTGTTCTCTTAACTCATTGTTGTCGAGATACTGTACCTTTATGTTAGTTTTTAAATGTTTCGCTCAGAAACACCAAGAAAAATGCTTTTCGAATTTTTGATTACAATCACAACTAAGACTACGAAAATGCCAAAGTATTCAAAAATTTTACGAGAGTTTAGATGAGTACTGATGCTACCGAAAAAAAGATCCATGCCTACATGATATCATGATATTACGAACAGAATAGATATGAACTTGTTAATCTATAATGATTTTCAAATACCTGCTCCTAGACAAAGTGGCGATTACAGGGAACGTTGTGAGCATAATCTCAGATGTCAACGAGAAATGAAAATGAATTTTAACGATTCTTTGTGATCGTAAGTATTTCACACTACAGGCAATATCTTTTATGCATAGACGACGCTTGATTAAAGATTAATTTAATAATGTGTTCGAACATATAATTGGGTCGAGCTTGAAAATCTACCCGTGATTTTCTGAAATCGGCAACACGACCAACTGAGAAAGAGATTTTGCTTATTATTTATAATATTTTTTACTTTTCTAATATATAAAAATTAAATTTACCTTCTCTTGTACTTTATGTTTAATAATAAACACAGCAAATATTTCTATGCTATGAAAAATAAGAATTTTCTTTTGTTTTTAAAATATCAATATAATTCTTTAATTAATAATATCAATTGTTAAATTTACTGGTCCAGCTACATTAGTATCTAATGTGATGCCATAACAATCGTCGAATTTACTAAGATGAATTTCCAGTGTAGCCAACAATTAATATAACTTTCGTTGAATCCAATTCATAGCGAATGCACGTAGAAAACATATTTGACTATCTTTTATTATACTTGTTGATTGTGTTCGATTTAATTTCATTCGAAAAATTTTATCAATATATAATTATTGAGAAAAATCGAGATTCTTGCTCAGTTAATTTAACGAAAGTATTGTTTACTCCGATTGATAAAGTTACTTTAATCAAAACAGGATAATGATTAGACAACTCTTCTTTTATAACTTCAGCTTCTCGTATGAACCATGTGTAATTTCAGAATCAATCACTATAGAAAACCTTTGAGACACTGGTTAGTTGAAGTAGGTCATCTTACAGCAAGTACTATACAGCCAATTTTTTCGCATGAAATTAATTGGCATTAATTTGACTGTAAAGGTAATCAGTATGTAAAGCATATGTACGTACAATGGCGAACGACGATATACGGTGATTGACGTTGACCAAGTATAGTGAAAATATAATGTATATAAGGCGAAAATAGGATCGTAAAGATGTCGTAATCGAGCTGCATAAGAGCATTGCAACAAAGTATCTCAGGAATACAAATTAGAATGATTTTTGCAATGACTTTCATTTCGAAAACAAATACGATACAATATGAAAGATTCTTCATCTAAGATTAATTTAAATTCTCCTATTGTACTCAGTCAACACATTAAAATAAAACATACCACAGACTGTGCCATAAACATATGTCCTATGATAGATATATTAACCGTTAGTCAATAACATAGTAAGAGATCAATCGATGACCAACATTGAACTACCTTGAAGTCGTCTGATCAGGATCAAATCAAGCTGATGCGGCTAGATCTTAGAATCTTGTCGTCTTGTACTCCAAGAGTGGTTGCTAATAATTCAAGTTTCCAAAAAACAAACTACGAGATTTACCAAAGAAGAAACTCAAATCACGTTTTCATACGACACATGCAATATATTTTGCATTAGTATCAGTGCATACTCTTTGTGATTATATTATGTAAAAAACATTGACAACAAAAACACTGTTCATTTATTTTTGGTCACAAAAAGTCTTTTGGATACATGTTGAAGTGCAAAAACAAAACTTACTTTTCTGCTTTGGGTACGGATATTCTCTTCACAAACACTCTCGATCATCCATAGTTACACCTTATAGACAATGAATCATGCAGAAAATTAAACGATCAATCAATAATGTTCTTAAGAAGAATGTTGAGAGGCATTCACAGAGTTCTCGTTGTGATTAGTTTCACTATAGCAACTTTTCACATTGATCAACTGATGGATAAAATTATAACATTTTCGATTGATAGCGACAAAAAAAATGTTTGAATCCAGTAAAACGTAAACATCTTTAGCGAAAGAGCGACTTACAATGAATGCTATTAAACGATGAGTCTTTTTCTATGAGATCTCATTTTTTTTTCCAAAAATCGAGATTCGTACTTCGCACCACATTTCGTTAATCGAGAGAATCTCGAATACTATCTAGTTTTAATTATTAGTCAGAGAAAAGTTTCCAGTGCTTAAAAAAAACCAACCATCGTATTAAAGATCTAATATAGAGTCACGCCATCTTTCGAATAGACATCTTTTATTACCACATTGGCTTTGCTTTTATCTTGAGTCCTTGACAAAATCTTAACGATGAACATATATAGATAATAAAGATCCATTTATAGTCGAATTTCTACGATCGAACTAATTTATCATTCATCTTTTTTTTGTAAAATTAAATGAAGAACTTTTTTTTTTTCATTTATTTGTTTATTTACAGGAATTTATATTGAAATACCATTTGAATAAATTCTTCATTAAAAATCTCTTCAAATTAAATATAAATTTATCGAATAATTCGTTGACAAACATGTATGTCATTTGATTTTTATTATTAATTACTTTAATATATTAATTGACTATTAAAATCTTTCTTGCTTTGTTTTTTCATCTATAATAAATATCATTAAAGAATATTTTTCATAGTTTCATCAATATATGAACAGAATTATTATTTAAAAAAAAAAAAGAAACGAATATTTTTCCCTATAAAATATAAAAAAAGCTTATTTAGAATGTAAATTCTTTCGAAATAAATCTTATATGGTTACCTCGAAAAGTTCTGATGTAACGTCAAATAAAATAATTTCCTTGAATAATATGTTACGTAAAATGATGCTTTCATTTAACCAAATAACGTTCTTCTTCTTTTCTTCTTTACATTCAATTCTTTTTCTATTCATAGAAGAAAATCAAAAAAAAAAAGAAGCACATGTCTTTTTTTTCTTCTTCGTACAATAGATTGATCTTTGCAACAGTTTTCAATGTCATTGTGAATTGTTACTTAGTAGAAGGACAAAAAAGAAAGAAAAGAGAAACGTAAATGTGATCAAGTATGTTATTACACTTGGTTTTTTTTCTTTTTATTAAAATCTGACAGGAAGAAAAAGAACTATTAGAACATCGAACCTTTTCTTTCTTTTTTTTTCCTTCTTTTTCAATGCAGTAAAGAAAAAAACTAGAGATGTTACTCGTTCTTGTTGCTTCTCTCAAGGTTTCTTTTTTTTATGATAACAAATAAAAGACGAATGACGATGAGAGGAAGAAGAAAGAAAGAAAAAAAAAGTTGAATAAGAGACCTTCATGTCATTTATGTTCCAAGGTATATATATATGCCCAAGCGAGAGTATTATATAAGAAGAAAAAAAAAAACAGCGAAAAGAGAACAAGAAAAAAAATTGAGTGTGAGTCGTTTCGATCGATAGAACATTTTTTTTTTTTCGAAGTAAATTGAAATCAATCTAGACAATTTATTTGCTACGATATAAACACGTGCAAATGATCAATATATCAATTATTCGAATTTATTTATTGTTAGTTTTTATCAATTTTTTTTGTAAGTCAAACATTTTTAATTTAAAAAAAGAAAAAAGACAATTAGATTCTTCACTTTGAATAAATTCATTTGTATTTTTATTTATTATTCATAGAAATGAATCATTGTTAACTAGATTTTTAAATGATAGATTTCAAACGATTAAAAAAAAAATTTATTTTTTACAATTTATAAAACCTTTTCTTTTCATTATCTTTATTATTAAAAAAAAAAGAAATGAGATATTTACATTGATTTTTTTTAAATAGAAATAATAATTTATTATTCTAGTTGAATATGTTCATGCAAGAACAAATCCTCGTTTTGATATGCGTGACAAAGATGGAATTATTTTTGATCCAATTGCACCACGAGCCGGTGAACGATTAATAGCCAAATGTACACTTGTTGGTCTTACAGATAATGATAAACGAAGTGTAAGTTTTTTTTTGTATTTATTTATACATGTTTATTTACAAGTGAAAAAAATGTTGATTTAAAATAAACTGATTTATTTTTGTTTTATTTTGTAAAATTAGGTCAGTTGGGAATTACATCGTTTAAATGATCAAAAAAGATTTTTTTTAGCAACAGATGATCAAGTATTCCAATTTACTCAACCAACTCGTCGTCTTTATGCTGAACATGCATTAGATTCAAGTGATTGGTATTTAATATTTGATCCATTAGATCGTGAAGATTATGGTGATTTAACATGTATGTTAGCTGATACTGGTTATAATAATTCAATTTATCTTCGACGACGTCTTATTGTATATAGTGAACCATTTGTTGTTCAATCATCAACTAAAGATATTGAAGTTAATGAAGGTGATAATATACTATTAAAATGTTATGCTCAAGGTTTACCACCACCACAAATTCAATGGATGAAAGCTGATGCTAGTCCATTACCAGATGGAAATATTCGTGCTATTGGTGTAAGATATTTTTGTTTTATATATATATAGAAAGATAAAAAAAAGAATTTTTTTGTTTTCGTTTAGACTGTTGAACTTGCAATAAATGATATTCGAAAACAAGATCGAGGAATTTATAAATGTTTAGCAATTAATTTAGTTGGTTATGGTGATATATGGACTCTTAAAGTTAATGTTAAATGTAAGTAAAATATATATATAAATAATAATTATTAATTATTTATTTTAGTTCCACCATATATTCGATGTCCATATCCAATGGTTGGACAAGCAATTAATTTTTTAGTTGATATATATGTTGAATGTTATGTACATGGTTATCCTCCACCACGTATAACATGGTTAATTTATTTTAAAAAATATATACATATATATATATATATGAATATAATTCTAATAGGTATAAAAATGATTATGGTGGTCAAATATCAGATCAAATGAGTATTGATGTTCTTCGACCAATATGGAATTCTTATAAATATAAAATTGAAGCAACAATACCTGAACCAAATATTTGTACTGATTGTATATTATCACGTTTAACAGTAATTAATGTTTTAGCTAGTGATTTGGGTTCATATGTTATTAATGCAACAACAAATGATAAACCTTATCGAACAGCATTAGCATCAGTTTTTATATTTGGTATATATATTAACATATATATGTTATTTTATCTTTATTTATTTATTTATAGAAACACCTGATTGTCAACAATTTATAACACATCGTAATAATATTGGTTGTAAACGTATTCGTTTTACAACTAGTAAAGCTTCATCAAACATTTTTCAATATTTTATTTTCTTATTTGGATTTCTTACCAGAATTTTAATCTAAAACAAAGAAAAAAAAAAACTTTCTTTTTTAAATCTTTCTATACGTATTCGATCTCAAACGGAATAGTAAACGATCTTTTCTTTTTTCTTTTTTGACTATGATTTTATTTCTCGTCTGTTTTGTTTTTCAAAAATATGATTGATAAATATTAATATCCATAGTAGTGACATCCCATAGGAAATAATAGATCCCTTTTTTATATGATTTAAAATGTTCACTTCGATATATCTATTATAAAATAGTTCAATTTATATGAGAGAATAGCAAAATAAAATAATTTCATAGTTTTCATTCATAGAAATTTCTAAATCGATGTTTTATAGAATAAATGTGTTCCATATATAGCTGATGTGATGAGAATTCGCATAAGTGAAGGTTGTATCCACACTACGGAATCGAATGATGATCTGTTCGTTAAGTGTATGATATTCTCTATATATAAATATATTAAAAAAAGAAAAAAAATTTTATATTAAAACTAAAAATAATCTTAGATAGAAATTGTTTTTTTTTCTTTTTTTGTATATGATTATTCATTTTTATTGTTTGCAATGAGTGAAAATGTGCATATGTGTTTAATAAGAATAAATGTTCTTTTTACGAAAAAACAAAACAAATCTTTTTATTTTTATATTCTGTTAATAAATAAATATATAATTAATGTGTTTTCTTGTGTTTGTTTTTTTTTATTAATGTTTTGTATATGATTTAAATAATAAATAGATTTGTCTTATTTAAATATAATATATTTAATTTGTTAGATGAATTCATTGAGACGTTCACCAATAACTGGACTTTACCATCCGAGAACAACTATTTATTCATTATCTAATTCATCTTTAACAGATAATCAAAGTTCATCATCTCTAAAAAGAAAAACATCAACTGTTGATCGAATATTATATGCTGATAAATCAGGTTCAATTTATCATTGAATTAAAATTAAAAAAATACATGTTTTTTTTTTTTCTAGGATTTTTACCGTCAGAATCCTATTCATGTTCTTCTCGTTCACAGTCAAATGTTGATTTATCTAAATCATTATCTTCTCTTGATCAATCTATTCTTGAAGCTCAAGTAAAACGAGCTCTTTCTTGCAATGAAACAATGGAAGCAACTATTAAACGTATACGTACTGAAGGATTATATTCTATCAAAGATTTAATCAATCAAAATGAAGTTAATCATTTATTCAATTTACATTTTCTATAAGATTTTTTTTTTGGTTTGTTTGTTTATAGGTTTTAGAACGTTCTCTTCAAGAATCGAATATGAAAATTTCTCAATTAGAATATTTATTAAATAAAACAAAACAACAAAGAATTATTTCAAATGATATAACAACATCAATATCGAATTATGAAGAGAAAATAAAAAATTTAGAAAACGATAAACTTCAATTAAAACTTCAATTTGAACAAGTTAAATCTATTAAATAGAAAAACAAAAGAATTTGTTTAAACTTAAGAAAAAAAATTTTTTTTTTGATTAATATTTAGTGTAAAAGTCTTCATTCCAAAGAAGTAACTCAACTTGAACAAAATATAAATGATTTAAAACATCAATTAGTTGATACAGAAAATAAATTCAAATTAATTCAAATTGAACAAGAGAAAATAAATAGGTTTTATTTAGTTAACAGTGATTATCTTTTTTTTTTTTTATTGTTTTTTTTTTTATTTAGCATAAATCAAAATAATTTAAATCAATTAAATGAAAAAAATCAACTTATTGAACAATTACAAAAGCGTATTACTGTTAAGTTTTTTTTTATTGAAAAGAATTTTTTTTAATTATTCATTAATAGGAAGTTGAATTAAACTTATCAAAAATAGATTCAAACAATATTATCAATCAAACATTAGTTGATGATGTTAAACGAATCAATGATTTACGTTATGAAAATGAACAATTAAAAAAAGATATTCAATTACTTAAGTAATTATATTATATTTAAAAATAAAACAGAATCTCTTCGAGAACTAATACATACAAAATGATCTTATTCATCTTGATTATCAACCGAAGATTCTTCTATTTGTTCGATTTTCAAATACATTCATTCACCATTGTTTTTCTTAATCCTTCATAAATACAAATATGAAATAATTCGAATGCGAACAAAGGAGTAACATCGTTGCTAAAGCATCTTTGACGATCTATGATCGTATAACAACAATCAATATTCTCATGTCAGATTAATTAAGTTATGACATATATATACTCTTGTAGTGTAAGATCTTCCTGCGATCCAAAACTAAAGCTAACCATAATGGTAGAGAACATATCAGGACAGTAAATCTGTCGGTAGGGAGGATTCCATGTCAGAAGGTAGTAGAAAGACTAGAGTATTCAACAAAAAAAAAAATAAACAAAGTTTGTGATGTTTCTATGATAATGTTCGTGATGATCTGCTAGTTAAGAAGAGGAGAAATTTAAAGATTTGTTTTTCTTAATATTGATCGTTCTTTTTAGGCTTAAATATAATGAACGATTAACACATAATGAAGAAATTCGAGTGTTACGTAAACAAGTTAATACAAAAGATAATTATCGAACACAAATAGCTCAACAACAAGCAGAAATTCATGTAAGAATCTTTATCTTTGTTTTTTATTTTTAATTTAAAAACAAAAAAAACATTGTTCTTCTTCTTGTTGGTTTTTTCTTCATTTATTTAGAAACTTCGTGAACAGTTAGCAAATATCAACAAAACAAATATGGTTTAATATTTGTCTTTAGTATTGTATATTGATAAAATATATTCTTATAAAAATAAATAAGAATAGAAGAATCGATGGACCGATACGAATACTTAAATTACAATAATCATGATCACAACAATATATTTTAACATCCGCTTGTGTTGTTTGAGTTGGACAAAAAAATACTGAACCTTTTGATACAAAACGACGACCATCACTTAAATTAACAACTGTTGTCTACATATATACATATTAAAAAAAAACAATAAGTTCAAAGATTTCTTTGACAAATCTCAAATAATAATACTTACAGTACATTTTGCAAGAAAATTTGTATTATTAGTTATAGTAACATAAGGATAATTTTCAGTAAATGGTTGAGGACAATCTGTACATTCATAACATATTATTGAATTAACCATTTGAACATCTATAATAATCAAAATTATATTAGAAATTCATTTGATTAAAACATTTTTTTTTGTTTGTTTATTATTAATAAGAAAAACAGTTGAATATTAATCATTCGTAAAAATCAATAATCCGTATCATCTCATTTAATCGTCGAATAAGTTCATTCGAAAAAACATTTTTTTTAATTGAACTCAAATATCATTTATATTTCACAGACAAAAAAAGAGACGAAGGATTTGTACGATAAATTTGTAATTTTTGCATAATTTCGTCAAAAAGATCTTTGACTTTAATAAACTCATTAGAAAAAGACTTCGAAAATGAAAGTTAATTATAATAAAATGTTGTCTACAATAGATTTTTAACGATTTTCGTGTTGAAATAGCAAATCTATTGCTTGAGTGTTCCTTTTTTTTCAGCACTTTTCTATTGAAGAAAAATAGAAAATATTAATATTTTCATATTAATTAATCATTCAATGTTACTTAAAGTTTTTCCTAAGACAAAAGACAAGTATCAGTGGTATATACATGGATGTTACTATTGAACTGACTCAAATATGACGTCATTGATTAATTAACCATCCGAGAATTTTCCTATAGATTATTCTAAAAACTATTAAATTCTGGTACATTTTGAAATTTCAAGTTATCAAAAGTTTATTTCAATTGATGTCTTTCCTTTAAGATGTGTTTGATATTCCGACAACAGTTTTTCATAGTTAAATAGTTGCTTATCATCTAACCGATAGTTGTTATTTAACCACCGTCAAATCTTCTGTCGATAATACGGACAAAAATGTAAGATGATAAATTATTCGATTTGTGAATAGATTTAATAAAAATATATTTTAATTAAATGTCCAAATATGACTCACTGTATAGGAGAAATATTCCCAATAGAACTAATCGATATTGCAGCATATTTTCCAGTGTTGTATTAATTTCAATGTTTCCACTTTGATCGTTCGTCTATGAATGATATATTCAAGGTGAATAAATATTTTTCTTATTTGAAAGAGGCGGAAACAAAGAATCTTTCATTCTTTCTTTCTTTTTTTTTATATTTTACTATCAATGATTGTCTTTCTTATACGTTTTTTTTTTTTTTCGTTAAAATAATGCCTCCTCAATAGTCAATAAAGATAGATTGATTATATTTTGTTGTTCACAATATATATCATTTTGAATAATAATGATGATGAAAGGAAGTCTATTACTTGTCTTTGGTATAATTCTATTAAATTGTAAGTTGAAGATATAATTTAAGATAAATCTATTATGTAATAAATCTGAAAATAGGTATAATAAATGAATGTCGAATAATTCAATGTTATTCTTGTTCAGATTGTGCTAATTCAGTATTAAAAGATGTTAATATTATTCAAACAACTAATGATAAAGATCAATGCATTGTATAATATTCTTAATATATTAAAATAAAATATTTAATTGATTTAAATTTATTTAGAAAACAACAATATTAACAGGAACAAATCGTGATAGTGACAAACAAGTTAATCGTGGTGCTTCATCACAATGTCAACCATATTCAAGTGAACAAATTTCAATTTATTGTTGTCAATCAGACTTTTGTAATGCATAATTTTATATTTATTTTTATTTATTGATAAACATCAATTGATTTATATCGTTTAGTAAATCAAAATAAACATTTTTTTTTCAAAATTCAAAATTCATTTAAGTTTGATCTTCACTTATTAATATTTAATTAAAGTATTCATTGAAGATACTTTCAATTAATATCAATCGAAATTTAGAGATTTAAATAGTGATCATAGATTTGTTCAAATCTAAAATAGTTAATCTATAATAGAGATTTTCAATAAGATTTATTTTGATTTTTCACAACGAATATAACAAATTCGAACACGAATCTGACTGATTCAAAGGTAAATTTAACTTGAACAAAATGTAACTTAAGAAAAAAATGCTCAGCGGTATGAAAGAATTTTCGCTTGGTTTATTTAAATGATATTAAATTTGAAAAAGAGTATTAACATTTAACTATGATTTTTCTTTATTGAGATTCAAAGGTTATTGCAAAGCACGTCCAAAGTTTTATCTAGATAAGACTGGATATATGAGCGAGATCCACCTATCGAACAACCTGCAGCTATTTTATATTGGTAAATATGATGAAATCTATTGTCTTATAATTAACTCGTATTATGTTTTGTTCTTGATATTTAATGTATGATTGTAAGAGGTATGAAGATGTCCCTTGATAAGTGTTAAGGGCAGAGAGTGAAACATATTAAATAAGAAATAGTTTATATTGATGTAATGATAATAAATGAAAGAATATATTGATATTAAATGTTCTCTTCTAAATTAGTCATAGATGATCAAATAATTCTATTGATCAAATATTTATTGAAGAGTTGTCAAATAAAAATAATAAATTAAAATGTTAAGCAAATAAATTTCTTAGAAAACATTTTTATTTTATAATCAATAACAAATTCATTTCTTGATTTTAATTCTAATAATAAATACATGTTTGCATATTTTCATTGTTTCATACTTTAAGTTAATATTATTCTACTGAAAATATTATTTTATCTTATGTTTTTTTTGACTAATTGTCATTATTGATTTATCAAAGATCATATTTATATATATAGACATATAGTTGAATATCAAAAATAATTCTTCATTATGTTACATTCGTTGTTTTATCTAATCAATAATAATTCTTTAGAATCTTTGACAAGAAAACAGTTTTAATTGTATTTATTTGTAAATTAGTTACTCAATGTAGGACATTCTTTTGTATGTTACTGTTCGAAATTTATACTAAATATTGTTGTTACCAAACAAATCTTTATAATCGATCAAATTCATTCAAATAATTAACATTATGAACAAAGAATAGATTTATCACTAATTATTATACAAGAAAAAAAAAATCGACTCAAACCATTGATTAAATATTGCGTACTATTCAGTCGAAAAAAAAGCACACTCTTTTTCAATAAATTTTTTTTCAACATTTATGGAATCTGTTTATAGAGGTATCATGTCAACTGTCACCTCGAAGTATACATCAATATAAATTTTAGCTTATTTTCATTTTTCCTTCCAACATCCGAAGTTAAGTTTATTTAGGCGTAACTTCCAAAGTTTCTTCTAAGTTAATTGAGGTCGGGAAATCCGGAAATGAGGTCGGAGTTCATTTTTTCTTGTTTGTCTCTCTGTATATTAAATGTAATCTCTTTTCTCGAGAATCCTAGAGAATGTACTGACTTAAGGATACCCGAAAAGATACACTGTTACCAGTATGTCACAGGAAATTTTGGGTACTAAAGTACTTTTAGGTACTTTCCAGTACTTATGTGGTACTTTGGTAGGTAACCTGGTATGAAATATGTAGTGAATGGGTACTTGAAGGTACTGATTAGATACTTAATTAGGTACTGTTACATAGTATTTCTAGGTATCCTGTTGCCGAAATTTCAGCATGTTTCGGATCGAACCTGACCTTTAACTGTTTCTCATATTGAGTTTTTCTAGCATAGTATTTGTCAAAAATATATGTCTAATGATTTACTATCCTATTTTCTTTATATATAAAGAAAATTGATAGTTTCACTTGAATCGGAATAAATACAAATAATTATATTGGAATAAAAATAATACTATAATTTCAAGGCACTCAGAATATATAAAATAACAAAAGATTGAATATAATTTCAACAATAAAAAAAAAAAATATTTATTAAATGAAAAAAAATTGCACCTATTGTATTACAAGTTCCAAAAAAAATTAGCGATACAGGTATAATAACTTACAACACGTATTTAACTAAAAACAATGATAGTTACAAGTTTTAATCAGAATATTGTTCGTTGAATAGGTAAAGCAGCAGCTGGCTTCAGCTCATTTCTATATAATAAAAAATAGCAGAGAATGAAATAGGCAAAGAATCTTATCGGTAATAACAAGTGAAAACTTTTTCAATGATCATTAGAATAGATCAGGCTTAAAACCGAAATATGATCATTTGATGAAGAGGGTGTGGGTGTGAATGTTCTTGTGGGTGAGCGCGTGAAGGTTCGGGTTTGGGTTGGTGCATTATTTCCTTCTTTCCCATACCCACATCCGCACCCACACCCTGAATGTTAAAAACACTCTTTTTATAAAAACTAAAAATAATACACTAAGTGGACAACAATCATACGATCCTTTTTGTTTTACTTTTCAATATATATAAAATTACACAGGACGTAAAACGACCGCCTTTACATTGAGAAATACATGCAAATTAATTTTCCATGAATGTGATATCTATATTTATAGAAGTATTTTAATAATGTATTATCTGATTTGTTGAAAAGAAAATCGTGTCGAAAAAATTCTGAATATTGAAGAAAAACAAAAATATATTTATCCTTGTATTAATTATAGTTTGATTTAGTGCTGATTTTTGCTTAAGAATAAATTGTGAACTTGAATGAACAAAGCTTGTTTGCTCAAATGCACGAATGATTGGTGGAGTCTATTTTATTCTCATGATTATCCATTCATTATATAATTTAAACCAAAAAAATTTGTCGTACACGCTACTTTCTTTCCATATACTGATTCATTACTTAAACAAAGATCAATCTTTTGTATACCTCTGCAATTTTCTTTTTGGACTCTAATTTTTAGTTGCTTTCCCAATTTAATAATGATTAGTTTAAGTGCTGGTTTAACTGATATATAAATATGCTTTACATGTTTGATTGCTCGTATAAAGGTAGTGTCAGAGCCAAACATCACTTGTAATAATAGGAGATTACTATTTTCATATTAAATCGAATGTTAACTCGGAAAATTACATGTACAGATTCAATCTAAATGCTACAATTAGTCATATGATAAACTATTAGAGTACCGTCTTTGAAACACATATACCGTTGTAAGAATACGTAATAATAAAGTGTATGGTTCATTAATGGTAAGGTTTAGCTTGCTAAATTTAGAACTCTACTAGAGAAATTAACTGCAGTTGCTCTGTTCTATATATTATCTCGTGGATAGAGCCCTCGAATTTTAATCGATTTTATTCTGTTATATCCGTACAATAACTACATGAAGATTTACGGAAGTTGTTTCTTTGGGCATAACATATGTTTGTAAAGGGTGTGGGGTGTGGGTGTGGATGTGAAGGTGTGGGGGTGGGTATCGATGCAAAGAATATCCATACCCACCCACCCACACCTCACACCCACACCCACCCACATCCACACTCCACACCCACCCACGCCCACACACCCCATATGAGATATAAAGCACTTTGAAATATCGATTACCTAAGAAAAGTTTCGAAAAATTTAGCGTTTCTTTTAACAGAAAAGAGTGCACTAGTTAAGAGATGAAAAAATCAAAAGGAAATACAAACAGAGAGCGTAATAAATACACAGTTTGTATGCTAGCAGAACGATTGGGAAAAAGTGATGAAAGAAAAAGACAGATCAATAGTCTATGATTATTTTGTTTACGCACATTCGTGATAAGGGTGTGGGTGTGGATGAGGAGATGGGAAACATTTACACCCACCCCACACTCACACCCTCCTCAAGGTCACTATAGAGGGGTACTTTTGGGTCCTGAAGGACTACTATAGAGGGGTACCTTTGGATTCTGAAGGGTTACTATAGAGAGATACCCTTAGGTCCTCATATCATAATATAGAGAGATACTCTTAGGTCTTCATATCCTACTATAGAGGCGTACCCTTTGGGTTCTCAAGAGGTACTACAGAGGGATACCCTTAGGTCCTCATATTCTACTATTGGGAGATACCATTAGGTCCACATATCCTACTATAGAGCAGTACCCTCGGGTCCTCATGGGCTACTATAGGAGGTACCCTCAGGTCCTCAAGTCCTACGATACTAGAGTTTTCTTGGGCTCTTTAGAGCTAAGCTATGGAATCCTCTTGGGTTCTCAATGGCTAGGCTATGGGATACCCTTGCATCCTCGAGTTCTATTATCGGAGAGTACTGTACGGTTCTCAAGTCTTGTTAAACTAGTAGTTCCCCACATAATACGAAGAAAAGGCTTCCTGAATCCGGATTCGCCAAAAAACAGATTAAATGAGTGAGAGAATCTATTGCTGGATGATAGATAGGGTTGAACTCACACACATACTGGGCATTTGATAAAGCGTTCTCGCTAAATCTAGAATCCACCGGAACATGACTAGTAGCTGTCCGTATAAGAAGAAAGAAAACCCTTCATGAAATCTGATTCGTCGAAAAATGGTACAATGAGATTTTATGAAGACTTCCTTTCGTATTCTCAAGACAGTTACCAATCATGTTCGGGTCCAAAGTACTTTTCAATAGTTTTCGAGGTACTTAAGAGTACTATCGCGTTATGAAAAGTATTAAAGTTACTTTTTGACGCTTTCGGAAGCACTCAACCCGTTAAAAAAGTGTGGGAAAAATACAATTTAACCATTTGAAGCCTGGAAGCACATATGTATGCTTCAGTTCTGATACTAACTGCATGTGACATAAGCACATATCTAATGAATGACTAATAGCAGAAGTGGCGGTATAGAAGACAGGTGTATCGTTTCCGATGCGGGTCGAGATGAGTGCGTTTGTGGCTGCAGGTGTGAGTGCGAAGTGCAGATGTTCTGCTGCTAGCAGTCACATCCACAGGCACGACAATGTCCTGATACAGCTAGATCCACATGAAAAGCCAAACCTATTAATACAACCAGACCCACTCTAACTTCCGTACCTAACACCTACATCCCACACTCACATCTTCAATTTGCAAGGAAATGTATTCTTGAGTATTTGAAAAAATTTCTGTTCTTTTGCTGCAATAAGTCTAGTTCTAAACGGTTAAGTACTTTTAATATAAATAAAATGAAATAAATTAACCTTTTCTACCATGTTTTCCCTATTAAAGTGTTTTCTGAAACGTTTTCTCTGTGGACAGAACATATCTATGACATAAAATATAAAAAATACTTTTCGCTACTTTTAAGGAACTTAATAGTCTTATTTTATTGAGTGAAGCTTGTATACTACTGTTAAGTACTTTTAAAAGTGCTAGAAAGTATTTCATATACTTTATAAGATAGGAAGATACTATCAAGTACTTCTTAGAGTGAAAAAAAATCATCCGAATTACTTTCATTAGTGAAAATAGAGTAGAAAATGTTCCTTTTTTGACTTTCTTCGTTTCAAAACTATTTAAAGTGCTTTTTCCTCACTTTTTCTTTACATGGAGAAAATACTTCTGAAAGTACAGAAAAGCACTTTTGATACTTTTTTCAAAACAAACTACGATTAAGTACTTCCAAAAGTATCGTAAAGTACGATTAAGTACCTCACAAAGTATCGAAAAGTATTTTATATACTTTTCATAATTCAAAAAGTAGTATTAAGTATTTCTAAAAGTATCGAAAGCTACTTTATATACTTTAATCATACAAAACTACTATTAAATACTTCACAAAATATCGAAAAGTACTTTTTCTATTTTTCATAATTCGAAAACACTACTAAGTACTTTTAAAAGTATAGAGAAGCACTTCATATACTTTTCATAATACAAAACTATCATTAAGTACTTCAGAAAGTATCAAAAAGTACTTTTCCGACTATTCATTATTCAAAAGTACTATTAAGTGCTTCTAAAAGTACCGAAAAGTACTTTATATACTTTTCATAATTAAGAAGTACTATTAATTGCCTCACAAAGTACCGAAAAGTACCTTTTATACTTTTCATAACGCAAAAATACTATTAAGTACTTTTTAAAGTGGGAAAAATATGAGAAAGTACTATAAAAAGTGAAAAATAGTAGAAAAAAGTTACTTTATTCTACTCTATTAATATTAAAAGTACTTAAAAGTCGTTTTTTTTTCTACTTTTTTTTTCTTTACATAGGACCCACACCCTCACTTTAATGCAATGGCGATTTTTGTGTGTACGTCGGAGTGTGTGTAGATTATCTCAACCTTTGGTTCACTTCTGTCGACCGTAAATCCATAGTGTGGCACTGTTTCTGTGTCACTTTTTGAAATCATCCTATTGGTTAATTGTTTGTCACTAGCAGTTATGATTAATATATGTACTAATATTTAATATTTTTTAGCAACATTTGCTGCAAAATACTTTATTTCAATCAAAAACTCAGTACTTTACACAAGAAATTTAAAAAATATTAAAAATAAAAACTACAAACAAAAAAACATAAATGTACAAATAAATAAAAAATATAGAAATGTACATTAAAAAATAAAAAAAAATATAATATACAAAAAAATATTATGCAAAAAAATAAAAAAATATAAATGCACAAATACATAAAAAGATATATAAATGTACATTAAAAAATTGAAAAAAAGAACAAAATATACAGAAGAAACAAAATTTGCAAGAAAAATAAAAAATGAAATGTACAAAATAATAGATAAATATAAATGTAATTTCAAGATTCAAAAAAACAAATAAAATCTAAAAAAATATTAAAAAAACAAAATATACAAAAAAAATAAAAAAATATAAATGAACATTAAAAATTATAAAAAAAAATTATCTGAATTTTATTAGTAACTTAACTAAAAAAAATTGAATTATAATATTTTATAATAAAACATCTAGAAAGAAAAAAAGAAAATTTAACAAAAAATTAATTAATTTTGGGCTTAAGGCCCCAATCACACCAAAAATAGAGCAATTTAACTTTTGTTTTAAGTTAATATGCGATCACATCAAGCAGCTAATCCACAAATCAAAATTGAGAATAGCCTCTATAATGTAGTGACAATGAATGAATACAGTGTACTTTATGGGAGTAAAAAAATTTTCTTATTGTTTACTTGCAGGGACTCGCTTTAGAAACTCATAATTTGCAGAAAAATTTAAAAATCTGATACACTATTTTTATAATAATTATCTTCTTCAAGCGACATCACTTCTTTTTATCTAATGACGTTATATATATCAGTTATATCTTTCATTGTTCAATCAGGCTATTCTATGATTGGCGCATTAATGTTCAATTTGAGTTGAGTCATCTCAAAAAGATAAATTAAGTGTGTTTTAACCATTCTAGCCATTTCATTGGTTAATTCCGTTTTAACTTGTTCGGTGTGATTCAGGCTTCAGCATAAAATTTCAAATTTATATATATGACAAAAAAAGACCTTTGTTTTCTTTCATGTCTTTAGTGCATATGATGCATAAGTGATTCGTCGGCATTGCATTTTCATAATGCATACATAGTACCGTCTTGCTTTTTCACAGCGGACGGCACAAGTCAATTGTATGGATATTATCCTCTGCATGAATAGGCAATTAAATACAAAGAAATTTTTTCATTCATTCCATCATCTATTGCGTCATTGTTCGTTGTGTATAAATACTGTGACCGTCCTTCTGATTGTGTTGAAAATACAAAATGTGTCTTGCGAAGGTAAAAAACTATTCAACTAATAGTACTTTTATTTCAGAATCAGATACTATTTTGATAACACGTTAAGGCAATATTCATTCATCATAATGGACAAAGCGATGAATAGTACTAATATAAAATCATTGTTAAAATCAGGAAAAGAAGTAAATATACACTTGAATACGATTGAAACTTTGAATATTCATTGTTTTCTTTTTGTAGAATCAAACAAATAGTGAATTACCAGAAGAAAAAATTAAATTATTACAACAAGAAAATGCATCACAAGCGACAGAAATTACAGAATTACGTGAATTGAACAAAAAGTATTTTAATACGATTGAATGGATGCAAAAAAAAATGCAACAACTTGAAGATGATCTTAATCGTACAAAAGCAAAAGTATCTGAACTCAACTTGTCTAATTCGTCGAATGACTCACCTCCATTGGTTAAGAAATAATATTTATTGAAAAATGACGAATTCAATGTGTTCAATTGCGGTTTTTTGTATTCTCACTATGTATATATATGTACATTAGGTGCTTTTCGTTTTTTTTCTGATATGTATATTAGATGCTTTTTCGTTTTTGTATTGATATGAAAAAGATGTATCAAAAAGAAGAAATAAAATAGAAATTGTAATATTACTGATATAAGAACGAACAATATTTCGTTGTTATTTGATTATTTACGGTGTGGAAGTGAATGACAAGAATACCCATATCCTTAGACTTCAAAAACGTCGTTTACTTTGCTTACTTGACTAGCATTTCAACTATAAAATTTTCAAATAACAATCGATGTTGTGATATTAATGTGAGAAGTAATAAATATTTTGATAACAGTTTTAAAAAATAGAAACAATTGCATTTTGACTGTCTGACAAAGGATTTTATTTACATACGAAAAAACCTAAAAACAAAATACACATTTGTTTTTCTACTTCTAAGATTCACGACAAGAACTGGTATCTATGCCATTCGTTCGAAAGTCAATTTGAGCTTTTCTCCCAGATCTTTTCAACAAAAATAATCATATATTTTTAACAAAAGATTTTCATTGATTCTTTTCTACGTTTTGTCAAATAAAAAACTAATATTCCATATTTAAAACAAAACATTTATCATAAAATATATTACAGGTAGTTTACTGAAGATTTATTTATTTTAATATTAAAATAATTGGAGAAAAATATTCATAAAACCTTTGATAAATAATAATGACTGTTGTGATTATTGCTCAAAAAAAAAAGAAAACTTTTCTCGAAAATTAATTAAGAACATCAAGTGAATCAATACGATTCGGACGAATTTCATCAACGAATAATGAACAATCATTTACACTGAAAACCAAATCATGTGGTTTACCAAATTTCTAAACAATATGTTAAAAATATATATAAAATTGATTTTTTAAAATAAAATAAGCAAACATCATTTGGTTTCCGAAGTAATAATTAATTGACCGAATGATTCTGAATGAGTACTAAAAGTAAAACCCAATGCTCAATTTTGATCATTTCTTCCATTAACTGCATAAAGACGAACAGTTCAAATAAATATTTATTTATTTAGGAATAATTTTAAAATGAAGTATACTTTTATTTAGATTATAATTAATAGCATAAGCAGTTGTCATTAAAGGATGAGCAATAATAGCGTCAACTTGACCATGATCATTTCGATTTGTTTCGACATTATCAATACCACAATTAAAACAAAGAAATCTATTAGAATAAATTTTAAATAAAAATTCAAATAAATTTTTAACGTTCATTTTATCTATCGGCAACACAAAAAAGATGAAGTTTTGCAATAAATATAGTAGTATGAGAAATAGAAAGTGGTTCTTCTCCTTCAGGCATTGAATATTTCTTTTTAAATTTCCTTTGAATCAAATTTAACAATATGTGCATTTTACCAAATCCATATCAGCAATATAAATATTTGAACCATCATTTGATGTAACAACAGCAGCTGGTTTACAAAAATGTGATGAATCACTTCCAGGAACAAATGATTCACCTAATATTAATACGCCTTCGTCTTTTGAATATTTAAATACTTTTTGTTTTTTCCATTAAATAAATATTATTTATTTATTATTCAAAAAACAAAAATATTTTTTTACCTAATGTATTCCAACATCTGTTAACCAAAGATTTCCATTAGTATCAATCGAAAGACCACGAGGCATATAGAATCTTAAATAGGATTTTAAATTTATTTTATTTATTAAAATAATGAGCAAACTTACGTATTGTTTCCCCATTGATTTATGATTTGACCAGTACGAATATTGACAGTAAGAACTGTATTTTCTGGTATGGTACTAAATTCTTCTTTGTCAAAATTATGACCATCGGGAAATAATCTTTAAAGGGAGAATATTCCAGAAACACCTCATCACCTTTCCTTTTTCTACGATTAAAATTTTTACAAAACTAAATTTTCATTGAAAATATTTCTTTCTAATTTTCGACCAAATTTGGAAGTAATTTGCATAAAACGTTAAATACCCTTGTTCGTCTTCTAGAGAGTTATTCGTCTATACAATGTTAATCGATAATTTCAGACTTTTCTTTGATCATAATAATTCCGAATTGTTTCAGATGAAGTACAAAAAAAGAGAATTTCTATGACAGAACAGAAAAAAAAAAAAATAAATTCTTTGATATTTGTACCAATTAAATATTATGATTAATTATAGATTCTCTTCTATGTATATATATATATTCGTATCTATTTCATAGAAAAGTCATTCAAATGTCGTATATAGTCGATTACTCGTGTGATGATTCTTTTTTATTATATTTCATACCCATGTTATTGTTCTGTATGTTATTCATGCTAATGTCAACAATCATATCCATATTATTATCAGGTTCCTGTTCCACAACAACAGGTAAGTAGTCAATATCATCATATTCTTCTGTATTTCAGGTTCGACTAGAAACAACAACTACTCGTCGTTTTTCTTCTGAACAAATTCGAACTCTTGAAGAATATTTTTATAAAATTGATAAATATGTATCAAAAACAACAATTGATAAACTTGCAACTCGAACTCAATTAAAACTAGCTTAAATTCGTGTTTGGTTTAATAATAAATGCACAAGAGAACGTCATTAACATTTCTTGTTTGCATTTTGTTTTTCTTTTATTAATTAAAAATGACAACTTACTCTTAATTCCATTCTCTTGATGTTCGATGAGCTTTAATTAATTCATTTCCTTAAGAATCAGTCGTTCCATGTCGTTTCTAAATCCGAAAACTTTTTAAACGCCTACATAATTTGTTAAATATATGTAAAATCATTCTATGTATACTGTCCTGGATGATTTCAGAAAAAAGAATTTGATCGAGAGATGCAGCATAAAATAAAAAGAACGTAGAAGAGCCAAAACAATATTCAGTCTTTCTTTTCTGATTACTTGAATTTTCAAAATGAAAATGGCTAAATTATTGTATTTCAGTTAGCGTTGTTTTTTGGTTCATCCTATAGAGCCCATCGAATCCTTGTTTAACATCATACTCTACCGTTTCATATACGAGAGTGCTGTCACGTGACGTGAAATTCAACTATATAATAGCTGAAAAAATTGAAAGTATTAGTTGAGATTCGAAATGTTTTCTAAATAAAATTTCATTTTGTTAAAATAAAAAATTTTTCAATGTTAAACATTACTTTTTTTTATAATACTTAAACAAAAAAAACAAAAGTTTATATCGGGGAAAAAATATCGAATTGTCTTATGAAATAGTTTCAATTCGAACAATAGAAGGTCGATCATTATATTGATTTAAATAAAGAATTTCCTAAATAAAAATTAATATTTTGATAATCATTTGACATTAGTTCTTTATGTTTTTCATCAATAATTACAAATAAATTAATTTGAATATCATTTGTTATTTCTAATGGAAATAATCTTCGAATAAATATTTTTAATTTTCCTATTGTTATTGATGATGGAATTTTTTTCAATTTTTCGTTCATTTTTACCACCAAATTCAAATATTACTTGTAATAAATTTCGACGAATACAAAGACCTTTTGTGATGACTAAATTAAGAAAGAAACATCACATGTTATTAAATAATAGTTGTACATTAAAGTTTAAGGAATTTTTTCTATTTAAATCTTTTTCCAATTCAATTCGATGAATAAGAACTAAGAGATGAAGATTTTTCTACATTGAATCCTTAATTCTCTGATATAGAATTTTTTATTATGGTTATGAGAAGATCAAGGAAAACCTAAAAAGAATTTTGAATTGAACTTTTCTCTATTGCATAGATCTGAGAATCTCAAAGAAAATGAATGTATCTTGTCTTTGTTGTTCAGGTATCAAAATTTCCAACTAGACTTCACTATTACAGTGCTTCTATAGTAAACAAATGTTTAGACATTATATTCTAAACTTTCTTGACGCTATACGCATTCGTAAGAATCTTGTCTTTATGAATAAATATATTTTCATAAAATAGTGAAAATATAACTGAACATACGATAAAAAATTTTTCTGAAGTTTTGTTTGATATACAGGAGTATATAAAATCAGTTGCGGTCGAAAGTTATTATAAAACAAATGACAATAATATTCCCAAAGATTGAAAATATTTCTTTTTGTTTGAAATCTTTCAAATACCTTAGAGAGATTCTGTAATCATTAATAAGTCGTTCATCATTAAAAATATATATGGATTCATAGTAGAAAAACGTCAAATTAAAAATATTTCTCAATTTCTAAGAGATAAACTATTTAAAGATCTTATAAATATCTATTCATTAATGTACAAATATTACTTCATTTTAACAAGTGTTACAAAACTCGCAGTCCTGCTCTCCGATTGATGGAATAAAATTTAAACTAGAAAAAAAAAAGCCATATTGATTAAACATTTTTTAATATATGAACGTAAATGAGAAAAAAAAGCTGAAAACAACAGTCTTTATCTAAAGTCTAATCAATATGGTTTTTTTGTTTGTAGTTTAGACTTTTCTCTTTCAATTAGAGAATAGGATTTCAAACTCGTTAATTGATTAAAATATATAAACGATTAGTTGTTTTTTTTGTAAAATAAAAAATGTCGACCCTCATTTGTAGTTAGTCTTAAAGATTCACCATATTTTTCAATTAATTTTTTATATTGTCTATGTTCATTAATAAAATCTAATTTTTGATCAAAATAATCAATTTCAGCTCCACGTCTTTCATCACGATTAATAAAAACTCTATTTAAATGTGTTAAATTTGATAAATGTGAAATTATTATTTGTTTAGCTGTTTCTGCTTCAATTTGATTTAATGGATAAATTGGATTTCGTAGAATATTAAATGATATTAATAAAGATATTTTAATGAAGGAAATAATTCATTTGATTCATCTTAAATAATAACGAAAAAAAAATATTTATTAAAATATTGACAATAAAGCAAACCTTGATTTGGTAATTTAATTTCATCAATTGCACAATTATTAAGAATTAATTCATTAAGATATTTAAGTTTTTCTAAACGATTCATAACTAGTTCCGAAGATTTTAATGTTGGATTATCATTAAATGATAAATTTGTTAAATTTTTTATTTGATTAACAAATTTTTCCGATATAAATGTTAAACGATTTAAATCAAAATGAATATTAATTAAATTTTCAAATATATCACAATCATTATCTGTATCAATAACAACTGATAAATAAATATATATATGTATACATTTAAAACTAACTGCCTGAATGTCCTATGTATCATCAATTGAATTACGAAAAGTTTGACTGAAAGCTGTCAAGTAAATTAATTTATTTGAATAATATTTTATTTTATGTTTATATATTGTTCATTTTAGTGAAAAAAATGTGATGGAATCAGTTGTTGGTCTTCTTCAAGATGGTGTAGAAAAAGTTCCTCAAGTAAGTTTTAATGATTTTATAAAACAAAAAAAAAAAGAAAAACGAACACATTTGTATCATTAATTTAGGAATATTCTATATCTTCATGTCCTACAGCAAATAATGATCAATTCGAACCAATTGAATGGATTCGTTTTCTTTCTAATGCATACAATTGTCATTCATCAATACGTATTGATACATTAATATTATTAATTGCTTATAAAAGTACTTTAACATTATGGATAATTGAAACAAATGGTATAGCAAGTGAATTATTTTCTATTCGTGAACATAATATTTGTTCAGCATGTTTATTAACAATAAATGTATCATATGATGATACATATTCATCTTATCGACCATTAATTGCATTTGCTAAATCAGTTGGACCACCATCAATACAAATACGTTCATTAAAAAATGATCAACAAATAATAAAATTATTAAATTTACCTGGTATGGATCTTCAAATTGAACCCATATTAATTGAATCAAATAATTCTGTACTTATTTGTACTACACATACATTTATTATTGGTTATGATATAATAAAATTTAATGAAAAATTTTTTCTAACGAATTTATATTCATCATTACTATTAACATTATCAACATGATGATTAGCATATGTTGATTAACGTCTTTATTTAGTTGATCAATCATCAGGTAGAATTAATAGTAATATATCAGAACAAAATGTATCATATACAGATATAGTATTAAATGCAGCGAAATCATTATCAAAAAGTGTTGTTAAAATAGGTGAAAGTGTATTAGGTTATAGTGAACAACAAATAAATAATTTAAATTTAAATGAAAAAATATCACTACTTAAACGACAATTATCATCAACAATAAATAATACGATGAATAATAATAATACAAATTTAACACATCATAGACATGGATCTGAAAAAGATGAATTACAAGCAGGTGTAGTAACAATTGTTGATACAATTTGAATTATTTAGAATAAGAAAAATAAATATCTAAATTTTTTCATTGTTTTCTTTTAATTAGTCAAATGAAAGACAAAAAAATGAATTATAGCTCATTTTCAAGTTCATACTTGAACCAGTTGGATATTTACAATTTAATCCAAGTGGACATTTACTTGTAACATGTGATACTAGTGGACATTATTTTAATGTATTAGAAATTCAAGCATCACCTTATTGTTGTACAAGAACATTTATTAAATATTTATATATTACTTTATTTCGTGGAGATACTGATTGTCGAGGTAATAAAGAAGAATATAGTTTTTTTTTTTTATATTGATTATCTCGTATTTTTTTTTAGTATCTCATATGACATTTACAACTGATAGTCGATGGCTTGCTGTATCAACAAAACGAGAAACAACACATTTATTTGCAACTAATCCATATGGAGGTAAAGATAAAGTATTAAATCTCTTGACTATATGACATGTCATATTTATTTGGATTCTAAGAATCATTTAAAAATATATTCATGCTGCGTAATGATACTTGTGACTGTATCTTAGAGTTGTAACTGATTCGATTCGTTGAGTCATTTTTAATCGTTTAATAGGAATCACTTCAAAATGAAATATCATATTTATAGTCGTTTATATCTATTAGGTGTCCTATAGATGAAATAAAACTATTTGTTTATTTTGAGAAGAGCACTCAAGTTTGCTGTCGATATGTTTTATCAAAGAAAAATAGCATATCAATAAAATTTTTTCAATCGGACCGGTTAGATCTCTGTATTTAAAGAACTTTAACATTATTTTAAACTAAATCGTTTTTGAGTTGAGACTATGTACATTATGTAGATCCAAATGAACTATGAATATCCTAAAAAAGAGTTCGTGTCTTTACCTTATTGCTACAAAGATACTGCTATTTTACGATATTTTTAAAATAAATGCCATGGTTATGCTCAGAAAAACTACTTTTCGAATTTCAACTTGAAACTTTGTATAGAGACAGATCTTAATGAGAGTAGCTTTAAGTCTTTTGATTTGCTTTCATCCTGAAAAAAACATCGAATCTACCGTTAATGTAAAAGATACATAATTACCATAGCTGTATCTTAGGATAGGAACAATGATAAGATCTGAAACTTCCATAAGAAACTATTCTCGTTAAGGCTCGTCTCTGTGCAAAGTTTTAAGTTGAAATTCGAAAATCAGTTTTTCTGTTAACACGGCTTTCATTTAAAAAATACCGTACAATGCAGTATCTCAGCATCAATAAGCTAAGGGCATGACATCTTTTCATAGTATTCATAACTTATTTAAATCTACATAATATACATAGTCTCGAACATCCCACGCCCTTAAATACAAGCCATTTCAAATCTCTTTATTAAAGTTATTTTGAAAGATTTTATTGATTTCAGGTATTGTTAATGTTCGTAGTCATACAAAAAATTACGTTGTAAATAAAGTAAGTCGTTATCATCGTATAGATGATCTCGAAGAACAACCGATACGTCAATCAAATACTAATACAAATGATAATGGACTAAAAGATATTTTATCAAATACTTTAATTAATTCTTCATCAAATATAAATAATTATTAGTATGATTATTTGTCATCAACACGTACTAAACGAACAAATACTGAATGTATATTTTCAACAGCTATTACAATAATTCGTCAACCAACTGATTAATCATGGACTATTAATATCAATCGACGAACATAAAAGGCATTTCCTTAATTTATTAAAACAATGGTGTCTAGATCATAAGCAGGACTCTTTGCTTGACATATATGATATAAACGAAAGAAAAGATTTTTTTTTGAATGTTGCATACAATACAAAAAATGGGCTTGAAGTCAGTTTAAAATGTCACTGAAGACGAATAATAACATTAGCAACAAAAAAAAATGGAAACAAACAGCTCTCTAATTTTCAAAAACATTTGCGTGTAACAATTTGTAGTCATACTAAATCAATGAAGAACAAAAACACTCGATTTTCAACAATCAATAGGTAATTCATTGTCATCGACTGCTGTCAAAACAATATCACCACTAATTTAGTAGCCATATATTATGCAAGTTCCTGTTTTTGTTTCAATTGATGCATCATCAATTATATCTGATCTTTCTTCAAGTACGAAAATAACTATATTTCAAATAAACTCTCGAAAGCAGAGTCAATTATCATTGCAATTATCATCATCTCAAAAACTAAAGAAAAGTCGTATTTAAATTTTTTTTTTCGTATTTTTGAGACACATTTATTTTTATGATGTATTTGCCGTTTTCAAGTTCTAATGAAAAAACACTTTTTCCATATTTATGTACATCTTGTCTTTTTTAAAATTATTAATGTACACTGTTCTTCTTTTTTTTTTCGCCACTATGTTATAAACTACAGATTAATAGTGCTTACATATTTTACAGAAGAAGTGCAGTACATTTCTACATCTACTAAGCTACGATTTATTGTGTTTGGTGTTCTACTTTCTAGTCCATTCTATATGATTTTATAGTATCTATGAGTTTCAAGTCTTCTTTAAGCATCACTAATAAAAATCGATGTGATAACATCAGCATTCAAATAAGCTAGGAATGATACAAAAATAAAGATCAATATCGAGGTAGATAGAAATACGAAGAAGTATTGAAAAGTACCAGAAAGTACAGAAGTTTACTTGTTCCTCCTTAGAACTGGATCAAATAAAAAAATAATTACACAAAAAAATTAGACATAGCTTTCAATATTTTTCTATAATATTTTTATCATGACTATTTTTCATTTTTTTTAATTCGTTTCATATTATTCACTAATGAAATCAGGAACAATCTTTGTTTTATTAGTTCTAGTAGGAGACATGTCTACATATTTCAGCGATTCCACGTCATTTCTATAGCACTCCTCTATCATGAAGAAAATACGAAAACTAGCATCATCTATTCATTTTCTAAAAATGACCATCATAATATTTATACAACATAATTATTCATGTTATCCTGATTCTGAATATATATATATATATATAAATCTTAATATTAGGCACAGTTCTAAAAACTATTTACATAGTACAATTAGAAATAATCACTGAAAAATTAACGCATTTGTTTCACCCGTCAGTAGATTAATGTATTCGTGTTTGTTGCTGTGATGAATCAAATTTTTAATGAATCATTGTAGTGTAACAACAACCATTCGGAAATCTGACCATTTTTTGAAATTATGTTCATTATTATGCAGCTACAATTCGGTTGATTGTGTTGATGTACTACGAAGCATTTTAAGAATAGCATGACTGTCTTACTCATCATTCGCTTTCGTCATATTCTTATTGCTTTTCAAAAACAAAAAAAAATGTTCGATATCCTCAGAAGGATACTTGGAAAATTTTAGTAAATCATCGAGTCGAGCTTTTTGAGCTATTGTTAATAATGTTGGATAAATCCTTTTATTTGTATTTAAATAGAATGTTGAATTCAAAGAGGATTAGATTTTGATAATTGACAAGACAATTAATTAGTAATAATAGTGTGTGTGGCAATAACTTCTTCTTAGTTGCATTACCTTGAAATCTTGTTTCAGTGATCGACATACATGTATTATAATTATAATGATTAAAATCAAAGTATACCAACAAAAATAAATGAATAAATTAGATGCACAAAAACAATAAATACAAGAATCGAGTTCTTTTCGAAATCTCTCATTAGAATTGTTCAAACAAATGAGAATTATACAAGTTATTTTATTTTGATTTCTTCTCCCTAGATTCAAGATTAAATTTGCTGAACAAATATCTAAAATGGAGTTCTTGTTTGAAAATTCAAAGACATGACTTCCTCAAACCTATTCCATATATTCGTTAATCAATTATGATACTAACAGAAAGAAAATACACACACCTATGTATGAAATCTACTTGTTAT